AACACATCGCGGATGTACAGGTCTGCCGCACCTTCGGCCGTCAGGGTCTCATGACAGGCTGAGAAGTGGACCTGCTTTGTGAAGCGGTCGNCGGTGACCAGGATCGAGTCGAATCCATCAGACTTTGGCAAGCCGACGATCATATCGGTCGTGATGATCTGCCATGGGCGCTCGGGGATTTCGTTCGGCTTCAGCGGACCCTGAGGCTTGGCTGGGAATGTCTTGGTACGGTTGCACACGTCGCAGGTGCTTACGTACTCATTGACGAATTTGGACATCCCAGGCCACCAGTAATTCCACGACACGAGCTCCAGGGTTTTGGCACGACCACCATGACCGGCGATCGGCGAGTCGTGGTGGATCTTGACTATATCCCGCCGGAGCTCCGCATTCTTTGGGACGTACACGCACCCGCGGAACAGCAGGAGCCCTTGTTCGGCATTCCACTCCTCAAAACCCCTTTGCAGCCGGGGCGGCCCGAGGTCCTGTACCTTTTCAAGGGCCTCGGCCACCTCCCGATCCTTCTCCGAACATTCCCTGATGCGCTTCAGAAGCGACTGATCGGCCGTCACCGAGGCGTGACCGCGCCTGGCGGAGGCGATGCGGAAGCGCTCTGGCTTGAGAACCACCTGATCAGTGTTATCGTCCTCATCGCCGATCTGGTGGTCTGATCGACGCGACAGGGCATCAGCCTTTCCATTGGACGTCCCGGCCTTGTGCGTGATGCGGAAGTCGAAGCGAGCTAGGAACAGCGACCATCGCGCTTGACGGCGCGTGAGGTGCTGGGAGGTACGCCAGTACTCGAGGTTTTTATGATCGGTCACGATCTCGAACTGATTGGGTAACCCCTCGAGATAGTGGCGCCAATCGTCCAGTGCCTCAATGATCGCGAGCATCTCCTTATCGTAGATCTCGTAGTTCCGCTGTGCCGGATCCATCGCGTGGGATCTGAAGGCAATAGGGTGCCATTTGCCATCATCCTGCTTCTGCATCAACACGCCGCCAGTGGCGTACCCCGAGGCATCAACCTCAATACGCGTCTCCCGATTAGGGTCGTACAGCGCCAAGACTGGAGTCGTCGCGAAGAGCCGTTTGAGCTCATCAAAGGCGTGCTGCTCTTCCTCACCCCAATGCCATGGGTCGTTCCCTGTGAGCCGGTCGAGTGGTCGCGAGATCTTAGCGAAGTCTTTAATAAAGCGGCGGTAGAAATTGGAGAACCCCCGGAACTTCTGAGCGTCTTTTTTGTTCCGGGGCACCGGCCACTCATTGATTCCTTTCAGCTTCGCGGGATCCATCGCCACCTCATCGCCACCGAACACATAGCCGACGTAGTCGACCTTGGGAACATCCCATTCACATTTTTCAGGCTTCAGGAATAGGTCATTATCCTGAAGGCGGCGCAGAACCTCGCGTGTGACCTTCTCATGCTCCTCTTTATTGGTGGAGAAGATGAGTATATCGTCCAGGTACACAAGGATCTTGCCGCCGACGATGAGATCGTGGAAGATCTCGTTCATCATCGCCTGGAAAGTCGCGGGGGAGTTGGTGAGACCAAAGAACATCACCAAGGGCTCGTACAACCCTCGGTTAGTCACAAAGGCCGCCTTCCATTCATCACCGGCTTTGATCCGGACGTTGTTGTATCCCCATCGGACATCGAACTTGGTGAAGAGCGTGGCGCCGCGGAGCTTATCTACCATCTCGGCGATCAGCGGCAAAGGGTAGCGGTTTTTGACCGTGATAGTGTTCAAGCGGCGGTAGTCCTGTACGGGCCGAAGCGTCCCTTCCTTCTTTTTGATGAAGAAGAAAGGCGACGAAATGGGCGATTTCGACTCTCGTATGTAGCCCTTCGCTAGTTGCTCCTTTAGGAACTTGTCCAGTTCCTCTTGTTTGTTGTTCGACAGGGGATACACCTTCGAGTGGAATGTCGAGTAGCCGGGTACGAGTTCGATCGCGTGATCGTAAGGCTTCCTTTCGGGTAGCCGTTCTGATGCTTCCTTGGAGAAGACATTCAGGAACTCGTGGTACTGTTTAGGTACCGACTCCTCGGCGGTCTTAACGACCTTCTTTCTGATCTCCTCTTCAGTGAACAGCTGGGAATACGTGTGCCCTGCGGCAACGAACAGCTGAGGAGCGCCGGGAAGCGTGATGCCTTGCTCCCAGGCTTCGATCAAATCGGCCTCATCCCACTCTACCTCTACCGGATCTTCTTCGGGTTCGAAGTCCGGGAGTACCTTACTCCGGCAGGCGTCTATAACCGACCGTTTGGATTTCGGCGAATGCCTGCGCGCCGTGGGCCTGTCCCCCGTATCACGTGCAGTCGCTGCTTGCTCCATTCGGCCAGTCCTCCTGGCACTGCACGTTTCAGGGCATCGCGACAATTTGAGGGAGCCCTTCTCCCAATCTATTTCGGGGTTGTGCTCGTGTAGCCAATCCAACCCGACGATCACATCCTCTGGACCGATGTCCGTGACCGTAAACACCGTCTTCTCGACGTGTTCTCCTATGTGCATCTGTAGCACTGCTACTTCTGAGATGCTTCCATCCTTATTCAGGGTGCCGTCGATATTGTATAGCGGAATCGGCTCTTTTAATTTTCGCGTTTGCACCTTATTCTCTTCAACGAATCGCTTGTTGATAAACTTTGTGGTGGCTCCGCTGTCCACCATAGCGATTATGTCCTTGTGCCGTCTTTTCCCTTGAAGTCTTACTGGAATGTGAAAGTGCTGGGACCCCTGGTCCAACTCGTACACCATTGCAGAAGACAATACATCGTACTTGTTACATGATACTCGCGGCCCGACGCGTGCGGCACGAAGCGCGGACCGGATTAAAAACCCTCTTCCTTCATCGCCCGATAATGCTCGAGCTCCTCGCGCATCGACTTCACCTGTGCCATTAAGTCCGCCAGCTCCGATTGCTCGGATTTCGCTGAAGCGGCACTTATACTTGCCGAGGGTGTCGTCGCGATGGGAGCGCTTGTCGCAGCCTGGGTGGAGCCCGAGGCAACCGTAGCCTGCGCATCGGCGCGTTTTGTGTAAGGTTTGTCCTTACAATTGGGGCACTCGAAACGTCGGTACCCTTGCTTCCCACAGCCGAAGCAGGTGCCGGGGAAGTTGCCTTTTCCGACGGCCGCATTGATGCTGGCCGAAGCTGCATGCATCGAGGGTGCACCACCACGTGCCCCACCGCGTCCTCGACCTCGTGCCGAGAAGAAGCTGTTTAGCTCGGGCCGACGAGCCCGGCTAACATCAAGGATTTGCTCGACCTCGGTGGCATGCTTGTCAGCGGCTTGCCACGTGGCAAAGGTTTCGAGCTCGAGTTTGCGATAGACGCGGGAAGGGATGCCGCTCAGGTACTTGTAGCGTAGTTCCAGGTTCCCATACCCGGAACGGTCCGCCGGACCCTTGAACAGCGCAGAGAATTCTGCGGCGGTGCGCTTCTCGCGCATGGTTTTGTCGGAGCAGAGCTTGGTAAGCTCCACCTGTGCCGCAGCGGCGTCGTCGAGATTGCCAAAGCGGGCCTTGAATGCCTGAAGGAAGGCCTTTTCGTCGACGAAGGGGGTTGTCGCTCCCTGGATCCCGATTTGGACGGAGGCAAGCTGGGAGAAGATGGGGGTGGCCCAAGCTCGCGCGTCACCATCGAGGAGACTGAGGGCAACCTGGATCTTCAGCTCGAGGGAAGAGAGGGCCGTGTTGATCGTCCAGTAGATGAGCAACTGCGAGATGAAGCGGTTGCATTCGATCACCGACTTCCCATCGTATCGGAGCGGGAGGAGGAGCTTTCACGTCTCC